GCCAGAACTTCCCGGAAATTCTTTGAATCTCATGTGGAGCAGAAGATTTCAAAAATTTCGAAATTCCCAAAAAATCTTCCTCATCGAAGACATCTTCCATCTGAAAAGTATGCGTCGCCAGTTTCAAAAATCCGCCAGAAAACACAATCTGGAGTTTGGAGTCGTTCATTTGGATGTGGAGATTTCGGAGGCGATTCGAAGGAATTCGTGGAGGAGAGGGGAAGAAAAACAGAAGGAGGAGACGATTCTGAAGATTTTTGAGAATTTGGAGATGTCGGATGAGGAGAATTTGGTGGTTTTGGGGCAAGAGGAAGGGAAGGATATCGAAATGGAGGAGTTGTTGAAGAAGTTGGGAATTGAGTTGACTGAAAGAAGGAAATGTGATGAAAAAACGGAGGTCAGGAGGAAGGAATTGAAGAGAAAGGTAATGATGATCGGAATCGGAGAATAAAAATTCGGATTTTTTGATTTTTTTTGAAAGAAAAATTTCAGGAAAAAAATTAAGTCTGAGAATTTTCCGATATACTTTTCCGGAAAAGTTTTCACAAAAAAAAATCTTGTTTCCCGGGAAAATTACTAGTAAAATTTGGGCAATTACTCAACTGCTATGGGAGTGTCTCAACTGCTATAATTGGCTCTTCTGCTACCAGTTTTTGTCGGAGAGCTTTGAAAACTATACCATTCGAATCAGCAAGCCAAGACGGTTCAAATGAGTATAATCATGACTAGGTTTAAAAAATTTAGGATTTTTGCGTTATTTGGGTCCCGACGAGAAAAATTGACAAAAATGAAAATTTTTCAAACCTAGTCATGATTATACTCAATTGAACCGTCTTGACTTGCTGATTCGAATGGTACAGTTTTCAAAGCTCTCCGACGAAAACTAGTCGAGTTACTACAAGATTACACAACAATTGCTCAGAATAAAAATTTTCAAATCCAGCCCGCTACAAAAAAATTTTCCAGACAGAAGAGCCAAATATAGCAGTAGAGACACTAGCAGTTACAAAATAGCAGTTATGCACCCCCATAGCAGTTGAGTATCTACCGAAAAATTGGGATTGGAATGATAAAAACGATTTTCCAAAAAAAAAATTTTTCCGAATTTTCGAATTCACCGATTTTTTTCTATTTTTTCATAGCGAGAACTCTCGGGAAACGAAACTTTTTTGGTAAAAAATTATATTTTCTCAAAAAAAAATCCGGAAAAATTAGGGAAACACTGCGCCTTTGAGTTAAATCTAGTTTCACTTTTTTCAGAATCCATCCCCTCCAACTTCCCTTCCCCTCCAAGATTTTGATGTCCAAACCCGTCGCCTAGTCTCTGAACTCATTCAAAATGATCGATCACTTGACGGCCGGAAGATGAGCATTGCACGGACGAAACTGATTTCAGTGGAGGCTAATGTTAATTTAAATTATACCGAATTGAAATTGAAGTTGTTGGATATTTATGATAAATTATAAAAGTTTTTGATTTTTTTTCGTTTTGAAGGTGCAATAAAACCCAGTCGGGTTGGTCGGAAAGAGCGATTTTAGTAGCGAACAACAGTTTGCAGATTTTCTTTCGAACTTTTCACGGGTTACATTTTCGAGAATGAAATTTACCTTAAAGGCGCATGGTGGGTCTTACCACGAAGAAGGCGTTGCTGTAAAACTTTTGGATTTCAAACTCAAATCGTAACGAGACCCGCAAAACGGAACTTTTCATACTTGGAAAATTTCGGCCCGGCCCGGATCGGCCCGGATGCAGATTTTGAAAAAAATTCACCAATTTTTTTTTGCAAAACTTTTCCAAAAATGTTCAACTTTCATACAAAAGTATCAAAAACATCAATATTCTTCATTTCAATCCGAAATAGCATCATATAACACCATTTTACTCTAAAAATCGCCTATTGAAAAATCAGCTCTGAAAATCCGGGCCGACCGGGCCGGGCCGGGCCAGGCCGGGCCGGGCCGATGAAAATTCTCAAACGGCCCGGCCCGTTCCAAGTATGGAACTTTTCAGGTTTTTTCGAATTTTTTTGGAAAAATTAACTGAAAAGCTGGGAAAAAATCGGGAAACATATTATCGAAGCCCTATTATGACTTTTCAACAAAAGTTGGGTTGGAAATTGAAAAAAAAAGTTGAATTTCAACATAAGTTTCGAGAAATTCGCCAGAAAAAAGCGACAGCAACCTCTGAAGTTCCTGATTTTTAATTTGAAAAAAATGTTTCGAAAAATCGGAATTTCCGTTTTTTGAGCCGAAATTGTCTAATTCATTTCTGTTCTGGAATTTCCTAATTTTCCGATTTTCTCGAAATTTCTTACGGTGAGCTGTTCGGAAACGAAATTTTCCGAGAACGTTTTTCGGAAAAAAATCCAAAAAAGTTTTGCCTGGTGGTGGCTACTAGAAAACAAAATTGCATGCTCTTTGAAGGCAATTTAAAGGCATGTTTTTCTCACGTGGATTGACCCCTCACGAGACTAAATTGGTGGTCCAAAAGTAGTTGTCCCAGTGAGAGGATTCTGAAATTTCTAGCTCTCACTGGAGGCTGGGAGTTTGGAAACCTCCATCTGAAAGTCCTCTTTTAATTGAAAATCAAGGAGCGGGTCAGATTTTCAGATGAAGATTCCCAGACTGTCAGGCTCCAGTGAGGGCTAGAAATTTCTGAATCCACTCACAGGGACAGCTACTTTCAGACCACCGATTTATAGAAAATTCCAAATCCACCTGAGAAAATTATCCCCTTGCAAGCGTCTCGGGACCTAGATTAATCAAATTTGTTTCAAATATAATCGATATTTTTTTCCTAAGCTTCGTCCTCCCCTTCATCATCCTCCTTTTATCAAATATCTATCAACAATACACATCACTTTCCCACCCCTTCCTATCATTCATGTCGTGGCTCTTTTGTATATAGCAACAACACAAAAAGAGATTGTATCGCCCATCTCTCTCCCCTTATTTCCATAATATTGTGTGTTGGCTTTTCGTCTCTCTCTATCTGTATTCAATATACAAAAAAGATATTGTGGTTGACTGACAAGAAGTTTTTCGTACAAAAACACATTGATTTTTTTTGAGAGAGGCACGTGGCAGTCCTGGAGGAAATGATCTCGAAATACTTATTATTTTTTGGTGAGTGGTTTTAGTTTTTTTCTATTTTAAGTACAGTACGCATGCAAAATTTTTTAAAGGCGCATGGGCTTGGTCTCGTCACGAATAGCCACTCTAGAAGTGGTGGCGGTCACTTTTCGTCACGGGACCAAGCCCATGCGCCTTTAAAAAAGTTTGTATGCGTACTGTACCTATATAATACAGTATCCCAGATAGTTTGTACTACCGTAACCACCAGTGAACCATTTTCAGTTTTGGTGCTGTCTGTCAGCTGCCAGGCACCACCCCAGCAGCCAGTCCAACACCAAGCAGCGCCTGTCCAGCAGCCAGTCCCACAACAAGCAGCGCCGGTGCAACAGCAAGCAGCTCCAGTGAAACAGCAAGCACCGCCTGTTCAGCAACAAGCAGCTCCTGTTCAACAACAAGCAGCTCCAGTGAAACAAGCCGCTCCAGTCCAACAACAAGCACCACCTGTCCAGCCACAAGCAGCTCCAGTGAAACAAGCAGCACCGCCAGTCCAACAGTCCAAACCAGTGGCACAAGCCCCTCCACCAGTTCAACAGGTCAAGCCAGTTACTCAACCAGCTCAAGCAGCTCAGCAGCCTGCTCCAGCCAAGCCTGTCCCAGTCCAACCTGTAGTACAGCAACCTGCACCTGTCAAGCCTGTCCAAGCTCAACCTGTCCCAGTTAAGCCTGCTCCAGCTCAGCCTATACCAGCTCAGCCCGTCCCGGTCCAACCTGCAGCTCAGCAACCGAAGCCAGTGGTTCAAGCTGTCCCAGTCCAGCAGCCTAAACCAGTCCAAGCTGCTGCATCGCAACCCGTTCCAGTACAACCTGTTGTCCAGCAACCGGCTCCACAGGCTCAACAGCCAAAACCTGTAGTCCAGCCTGTGCCAGTCCAGCCTGCTCCAGCCCAGCCCGTCCCCGTCCAACCTGTAGTACAGCAATCGGCTCCACAGGCTCAGCAACCCAAACCCGTGGCTCAACCGGTTCCAGTCCAGCCAGTAGCACAGCAATCTGCACCCGCCAAGCTAGTCCCGGTCCAACCTGCTCCAGTCCAGCCTGTGCCAGCTCAGCCTGTCCCAGTCCAGCCTGTAGCTCAGCAGCCGGCTCCACAGGCTCAGCAACCAAAACCCGTCGCTCAACCGGCTCCAGCTCCTGATCCACAAGCGCAGCAACCCGTCCCAGCTAAGCCTGTAGTTCAGCAAGCTGCTCCACAGGTTCAACAAGCTGCACCTGCAAAGCCTGTCCCAGTCCAACCTGTTCCAGCTCAGCCTGTTGTCCAACAACCTGCTCCACAGGCTCAACAGCCTAAACCAGTCCAGCAAGCTCCGCCCACTCCTGTCCAGCCACCTAAACCTGCCGTTCAAACCCCTCCAGTTCCAGTTCAACAACAGGCGCAACCTGTCCAAGCCACCCAGGCTCCTCCAGTTCAACCCCAACAGCCAAAACCTGTTGCTCAGGCTCAACCTGCACAAGCTCAGCCTGCACAACCAAAACCAGCAGCTCAACCGGTTCAAGTTCAGCAAGCAGCAAAACCAGTTGTCCAGCAGCAAGCAGCTCCAGTACCTCAAGCAGCTCCACCAAAACCAGCCCAGCCTGTCCCAACACCTGCACCACAACCAGTGAAACCTGTCCAGCAACAAGTATGTCTAGTGGCTTAGAACTAATTAGAGCTCAAATTTTCCAGAAACCTCCTGTCCAACAAGCTCCGCCCACACCTAAACCGGTTACCACTACCACTTCAGCTCCAAGGACAACCAGACACCAGCCTGCTCAGCCTGCTCAAGGGGACAAGAAGCAGAGGGCGAAGCGAGAGGATTCCCATACCACTCAAGCCTCTCAAATTGATAAGAAACCTGACGAGTGAGTTGTAAAAAAAAGAAAAAAAGATTTGACCCCAGTGGGGGTTGAACCCGCGATGGGAAATTGGAGGACAACAACGCTAACCGCTGCGCCACGGGTGCAACAGCTTGTAGCGGGGGGAGAGGGCGTAGACAATAACACGGCGTTCGTTTACTCAGGCGCTCCATTGATAATGCCGACCACCGTGCTGAAAAAGCTAGGCTATCGCGTGCCGCCCGACATTATCAATGGGGCGCGTTTGTTATTTCATAATAATAAAACAATAATTTCCAGGTCCTCCTCCCTTGCCTCGGATCTCCGTGGCCTCTCCACCAACGTCATTTTCTTCGCCTCCTGCGTGTTCTTCGTGCTCCTCGGTGCCTGTTTATTGAGATGCATCCGTCGTGATCCATCGGATGACAAACTCAAAATGTTATGACTCTTTTGTGGTTTTCAATACCTGCTGGATCTGCTTTGCAGTAATTAGTTTTTTTGTTTCACTACTTTGGTTATTTTTCTAAACTTAATTGAATTCTTTTTTTTTCAATATAAATCCCCCAATTTCTAGTGTGTCTAATCTTCCTTCTCATTTTTTATTTTTTTCAAAATTTTAACTAAAATGTGAATTGAAATGTGTCCAAATAAAACGTGTCTGGTTATTCTGATTCAGTGTTCCTCGTTACACCCGCGGCGAGTGAGATGTCTACGCCCTCACCACTCCTTGTCGACTGTTGCAGCGTGGCGTAGTGGTTAGTGCTTTTGTTTTTGAATTTTCAATCCCGGGTTCGACCCCCCGGCATGTGCAAAATTTTTTTTTCATTTTTTTTTTGTAAAGCAGGAGGACAAAAGTCTTACAATACCGACTTCTTCGTGGCGAGACCCATTCTCGGAATTTGGAAACGGAAATTTCAGTTTTCTGGGTTTTCCGGCCTTTTTCCGAATTCTTTTCCGGAGAACTTTCGGGAAAAGAATTGAAGTCGGGAAAATTTCAGAAACTATTTCTTCGAAAGTATTCCGATCGGAAAATTTACCGGAAAATATCGGAAAACTCGGGAAAAATTACGGAAAAATCGGTTAACATTCTATGTAAAAGCAAGTGCTGACCGATGATCCGATAACTTGACGGTCCCGATATCTCACCACGAAAACTACCGTATAAATTTAATTGTTACCGTGAGAAATTTCGTAAATGTTTATTTATTCATCGCGTTTCATCAATTTTAATCGATTTTCAACGAATATTAATTTTTTTTCTGAGCAAGAGCCTGAAAAATTGCTGAAAATCGTTGAAAATCGATAAATCCTACGGTAGCAATTAAATTTATACGGTAGTTTTCGTGGTGAGATTTCTGGGCCGTCTAGTTGTCGGATCTTCGGCCAGCACTTTCTTTTACACTGATTGCCGTAATAAATGCAGCCTCACTAATGCGATTTGGTCTAGAAAATTCCGGAAATTTTTCAGAAAAAATATTGATTTTTTTTTCAAATTAGAACCGAAATTGTCAAATGAATTTTTGTTTTTTGCAGCAATTTTCGATATTTCCGATTTTTTCGGTAATTTTTACCGAAAACGAATTTTACAAAAAATATGTACGCGTTAAAAAAATCAATATTTTCGTTATATTTTAATGTAAAAAAAATTTTTTTTTTTCCAATTTTTTTTTTTCAACTCCAAAAAAATTGGACTCTAAAATCTCGATTATAGTAGTTACCACTAACCAAACAAACCCTGCCCCTGGCTGACGAAAGACCTTGATAAAAAGTCCACACTCTCTCTGCACAAATTCATTTCCCCCCCCCCAACTGATAACAGCAACTTCCAACATGTGCTCGCTCGAGTATATAAAAACTCTCTCGGGGAAAGAGTTTCTCTTATCACTTTTCGAATTCATTAGGCATCAATGAAATTTCTAGTCTATTCACTATTAGCGTTATTAGGCACCATTTGCCACGTGGAGGCCAGTAAATGTACGGATTGTATTGCCAGTGGGAAACAGTGAGTTTTTTGGGCAAATACTCAAGTGCTACGAAGTGATCAAGTGCTATATGCTAATTTTTCCAAATTTGGCTCTTGTGCTATTGTCTCAAATGCTATTGGCTCATGTGCTATGATTTCGGATCAATTGCTATTTCTGCCTCATGAGCTGTAAAAGTAGCAATATAGAGCCAAGAAAAACGGTCAAAATAGCAATTGATCCATAGCACAAGAGCAAAAATGGCATATAGCACTTGATCACTTCATAGCACTTGAGTATCTACCCAAAAAAACTCTTCAAAATTACTATTCCAGCTGGTGCGTTACGGTCAATGAATGTGGATTCTCACCATGTGTAACCTCGATTTCGGTAAGTACTACCTTAAAGGCACATGTAACTTTTTGGTAGATACTCAACTGCTATTTCTCAACTGCTTTATTTTCTCTTCTGCTATTGATCAACTGCTATTTTTGCCACTTTTGATGTCTCAACTGCTATGGCTATAGCAGTTGATCACCCCCATAGCAGTTGAGAAATAGCACTAGATTTCATAGCAGTTGAGCATTTGCCTGATCTTCTGCTATAGGACATTTTTCGCAAATTTGGATCTTGTGCTATGGATCAACTGCTATTTTTGCCAGATGTCTCATGTGTTATGGCTGTTGTCTTATCATAGCAGTTGAGCCAAAAAAAAAAGGTGAAAATAGCAGTTGATCCATAGCAGAAGAGCCAAGTATAGCACGTGAGACAATAGCAGTTGAGCAAATAGCAGAAGATCACTCATAGCAATTGAGTATCTACCTTGTAATCAAGCCCGCAAGTCCGACCCACATGACCGCTCGGTCTGAAAAAAAAATTTTTCTGAAAAAAATTTTTTTTTTTGCGAAATCACTTCTGACAAGCAGAAAACGAGCAATTTTTACAAAATGAACAAACAATTTTTTTCGGATTTCGAAAATATTCAATTTTCGCGGTAACCGTCGGGCCCCCAACTAAGAAAAACCAGGATTTGTACCCGGAAAAACCAAAAAATCATTCCATCCACACACCAGAATACACTATCTAGTGAACCAATATTCCTCTTATCAAACACTTTTGGTGATCATCAATAATTACTTTTTTTGTTTCCAGAAAGCACTAAACTGCCCGGAACTACCTGATAAAGCACATGCTTATGACGACGCTTTCGTCAGGTCAAAGATTCTTGTGACGACGGCGGCGGCCTTCAATAATAATCCACAGAAATGTTTCAAGTAAGGGGGTTTTGATTAGGGGGAAAGTGGGAAAAAATTTTGCGAAAAACTTTTTCGGAATACTTTTTTCGGAAAACAAAATAATTTTTTTGTGGAAAAAATCTGAAAAAATTCCGAAAGTGTAAACAGAATTCGACAATTTTCCGGATTTTCATTTTTTCTTAATTTTTTTCGGGAAATTTTTTTCCGGAATTTTTGAAAATTTTCTGGAAAACCTGGAATTTTCGTTTCAAGATTCCGAAAAAGCCTGAAAATTTTGGAAAAAGATATTCTACGAATCCATTTCTCGAAAAACGGAAAACTTCTTCTTCGTGGCGAGACCCATACTCGGAATCGGACAGCGGAAACTACGGTAAAAACTAAAAACCGATTTTTCATTTTTTCGTTGTTTTTTTTCGGGAAAATTTTTTTCCGAAATTTTTTCCAAAAAAAAATTTTCTGGAAAATTTCCGAGAAGTCCGGAAAACGGATATTCCGATTTTTTCCCAAAAAATTTTTCCGTGAAAAAAATCTGGAAAAATCCGAAAATCCGAAAAAAAAGTAAACAGAATTCGACAATTTTTTCCGGTTTTTCATTTTTTCGTAACTTTTTTTCGGGAAATTTTTTTTTTCGGAATTTCGGAAATTTTTTTTGGAAAACTCGGAAATTTTGTTCCCCGATTCCGAAAAAGCGTGGAAAAATTCGGAAAAAGATTTTTTCCGAATCCATTTTTCAGAAAAATCGGAAATTCCGTTTCCTGATTCTGAGCAAGCCCGATTCCAATCTGGCCAATCCTCAACTGCTTTTTCTCAAGTGCTACCGGGATGATCAAGTACTATCAGAAAGATTCTGTTGTATCAAGTGCTTTTTTGGTTCAACAGCTATTTGAGATAGCAGTTGAGTCATCAAAAGTGGCAAGAATAGCAGTTGATCCATAGCAGAAGAGCCAATTAAAAATTGCCAGAAAAAGCGACAGTAAATTCCGAAGTTCCCGATTTTCCCGAAATTTGAGGAAAAGTTTTCCAGAAATAATGGAATTTTCGTTTTTTCAGTCGAAATTGTCTGCAAATACTCAACTGCTATGAAATGTACTGCTATTGTCTCAAGTGCTATGGGGGTGATCAACTGCTATATTTGGCTCTTTTGCTATGGATCAACTTCTATAGCGATAGCAGTTGATCCATAGCAGAAGAGCCAAATATAGCAGTTGAGATATAGCAGAAGATTTCATAGCAGTTGATCACCCTTATAGCAGTTGAGCATCTACCAAGTACTATTTTTCCAATTTTCAACGCCTCGAGTTCAATTTCTCAGGGGCAATAGCACTTGAGAAAATAGCACTTGAGGAGATAGCATCTCCCCCATAGCGCTTGAGAAAATAGCACAAAAGACAAAATAGCACTTGATCACCATATAGCAATTGAATATTTTCCATCCCATTGATTTTTCCAGAAACTCCATGCCCACGATGACCCTCTCCAAGACCTTCAGTGTCAATTGCTCAGAAGTTGGCCCTCAAACCAACTGCTTCGGATTCACTTCCTTCGACACCGCCCAAAAAGTGGTCGTAATGTCGTTCCGTGGAACTCAAGGAGCCACTCAACTCACCGAAGAAATTCTGGATTTTTTCACCGGAAAAAAACCGTTTTTCAATGACGCCGGTCACATTTTCACCTATTTCTATGACGCCTTTTTCTTCCTCTGGAATGGAGGACTGTCTCAGGATATCAGAAATTTAAAGTACAAGTACCCGGACTATGAGTTATGGGTGACTGGACACTCCCTTGGCGGGGCAATCGCCTCCATTGCAGCTTCTTATGTTGTCCATACCGGTCTTTATACTGGAGATAATGTGAAATTGGTGACGATGGGACAACCGAGAACTGGGGATTACGACTATGCAGTATGGCATGATAAGACGTTCCCGTACTCGTTTAGAATTGTTCATCACAAGGATATTGTCCCGCATATCCCACCGCAATACGGAAAAGATGAGCTTTTCCATCATAGAACGGAAGTTTGGTGAGTTAAAAAATGGGGAAAAAAAAGAAAAAAAAAGATTTGACCCCGGTGGGGGTTGAACTCATGATTGATAATTAAAAAACAAGAGTGCTAGCCGCTGAGCCACGAGTGCAACAAGGAAAAACTTAGGGTAGAGGGCGTAGAGAAGAATACGGATGGGGGTTTACTTCTCAAGCGTCGATCGGGTTCGAATCTGTGAGGAAAATTGTCAACCAGCATTTTTATTGGAATCGGAAAACGGAAGTTTCGGTTAACCGGTTTTTTCTGGAAGTATATATTTCGGACAAAAATTGAAGTTTGCCGGGAAATATTCCAGGAAAAAAGTAGGAAAAGTCGGGAAAAATTTCGGAAAAATTGGAAACCAAAAAAAAATTTTCCGAAAATGCTCTTTGGAAAAAATTTCAGAGTTTTCGTTTTCCAAAAATAATTCGGGAAAATGTTTTCTGAATTTTTTAAGGAGTTTTCGATTTCTCTGAAAATTATTTTCTAAAAAAAAATCGGGATTTCCGTTTTCAGAAAAAATTTTTTTTTTCGGAATTTTATATTTCCGAAAATGCTGTTTGTAAAGAAATTCG